CATTTAAATTAAAGTTTAATGTAAAAAGGAGATATTTCATTTTTAGTCGTGTAAAAAGTTGATATTTGATAGTAGATACTTCTACTCTTTCACATATTTGATGTCTGTCTCCATATATTTTGTCCCTCCTATACTATAATATGTACAAAAACTAACCCATAGCCTCCTCAGAAAAATACATAAAATCGCTTAAATATGCAATATATAATCTGGTTTGATAGTATTCTACTTTGAAACATCTTTAGTTATTTTGTACTGCATCACTGAAGTATAAAAACCCCGTCACAACAGCATATGTTCTCAATACAAGGAACAAAGGTTACAAATCAGAAACAAATTATAGGTTACCTAAAGGAACCAATGTTACAAATAGTAACAGGCTAAGTTACGTTAAGGAACCAATGTTACAAAAAGGAACAGGCTAAGTTACGTTAAGGAACCAATGTTACAAAAAGGAACAGGCTAAGTTACGTTAAGGAACCAATGTTACAAAAAGGAACAGGCTAAGTTACCTAAAGGAACCAGTGTTACAAAAAGGAACAAGCAAAGTTACCTAAAGGAACAGGCTAAGTTACCTAAAGGACACTAAGTTACAAAAAGGACCTGATGGTCCTTTGTGTAACAAGTTTGGTTACACAAGGGCACCAGCAAGTTACACAAAGGATCATCGATATAACAGTCAGTCAGTCAGTCAGTCAGTCAGTCAGTCAGTCAGTCAGTCAGTCAGTCAGTCAGTCAGTCAGTCAGTCAGTCAGTCAGTCAGTCAGTCAGTCAGTCAGTCAGTCAGTCAGTCAGTCAGTCAGTCAGCGCATTTGGTCGGTTTCTTTGCATAGGAATACGTGAATAGGTTTATTCATGATTTATTTCAAAGCTTCAAGTCAGATCTGCGCTAGCTTGGTAATATGATCATTTCTGAACTGTTCGATCTCCTTAGGCCGCGGTCACACTAGCGCTTGTGCTTGGAGATTACCACCGGATTAGCGTGCTTGCTTGAACACATACCAAGCTCATGCTACAATCTTGGCCATAAACCGTAGGACGACGATAAATTTTCATGCATTTTTAAGGCCTCCCCCCTTACCCCCATTCAATGTTGCCGTTTCGTGTATATTTATGATCTGACCTACTCTACAACAAAATTGTGCGTGTACTAGGAATGTGGGAGAGCAACATTGAATGGGGGGAGCGGGGGGAGGTGCAAAATGATTTTAAAACCGAAGTATATTAAAAAGTTGCGAATTTGTTTTGTCGTTCCACGAACTTTTGGCCAAGATTGTCCGAAAATTATGTTTTTAATCCTTTACATATATATGTATTAAATTTAGAACACCAGTTGTAGAAATATACAAAAATGCACTTATGTTTTTGTACTACTGGATAACACTTCAAAATTCATTCTGGTATTCCTAAATATTGAATGATAGGTAGATATTAATAAATATTGTATACTGTAATTTGAGACCGGATTTCTGGGTAGGACCATAATCTTCTCTTCAAATAGCATATATGTCTATTTTGAACCGGACAGTAATGGTTATAAAGGCAGACTGATACAACGTAATTATAGATATATTTTAGTATACATATTTTCAGTTAAAGCTACACACGCCAATTGACAAATAGAATTTTTAATTAATCTTGCTGTGTAAGATCCAACATATCATAATTATAGATATGAGGAACATATCGCGTGCGCAACAACGAATCGTGTTTATAGCCCCGTACAGCAGAGCGGACACTCAGAAATTTCTTACAAAAAAGAGCTTTGCTGATGCCATTGTAGAGGCATGCATGCATAGACCGTGTCAGGCTTTACAGTTGAACATTGGGTCGTCCTTATGATGTGATGTTGACCAAATAATTAAGTCTGGTGCCGTATCGGACAAAATATTAATCTATATATAGGCCTACATATAAATGAACTCTAGTAGCTTAATAACTAACTGACAGTACTCATGAACAGTACTCACAGTAATTGCTTAATTTTTCGTCGGATTGTAAATAAATACATAAAATATACACAACATTTTGTTCATTGTTACTGTCCTTACAATCTCATGGTAAATAGGTAAAACAAATTGTAGATTTGAAGCAATAATTGACACTACTCATTAAAACCTCCAAACTTAATATGAGATATAGACATTGTCTTAACTCATGTTATGGCGAGTACTGTGATTGTCCTTTTCAAAGGCTCAATTTTCCTACAAAATACCAACAAACAGAATTGCGACACTTATGCCAACATTTAAAAACATTTTATTTCAGACAGTGAAATCATATATGCTCGCTTAGCTCTTGTTTCTTTGAGTACTGTCACTGAGTACTTGAGTGTCACGATACAGAAAGCCCGGCGGCCCGCGCGTCTAACAATTACATATTGATTTGCAGCGTATTATTATATCGCAATAAGCTCTTGCAATTACTCTTTCTGCTGTAAAATGAAGAAGAAAATTTCCCTTGTTTACATTACTTGCGCAAATTCATATATGTTCGCTTAGCTCTTGTTTCATTGAGTATACTGTCACTGAGTACGAGTGTCACAATACAGAAAGCCCTGCGGCCCCCACGTATAACAATTACATATTGATTTGCAGCGCATTATAATATCGCAATAAGCTCTTGCAATTAATCTTTGTTATGTAAAATGAAGTAGAAAATTTCTTTTGTTTACATTACTTGCGCAAATAATTCTCAATGATCTAAACACATTGGCTTAATGTCAATCTAATATCGTATAGATTGCCTTCTTTTATGAACAACTGAAATAAATATTTGAAAACAGATATTTCATAGGAGTATGGTCCTATTTATAAAAAAGCGATTGAACTTTGATAGTTTGATTGTACCGAACTTCTACTAGAGTAAGACCATGATTGTCTTATATGTAACCTGAAAGCAAGTATAACTTGAGCAGCTTAGCAGAGCCACCTTAACTAAAGACGTAAATAGTACACGCCACCAACACCTATAACAATCATATTTGATATTTTTATGCAGAATAAATTAGCACAAGTGTCTTGTACAAGGTTAAATGCATTTTTCGTGGAAATGAACATGTAGCAACTTTCAGACTGTCCGAAAATTATGTTTTTAATCCTTTACATATATATGTATTAAATTTAGAACACCAGTTGTAGAAATATACAAAAATGCACTTTATATTATATATTAAAAACGCGATGTATTATAGTTATTACCATGCTCATTGGGCTCTACAGCACAATATCTCAAACGAATTTTATAATTTTTTGAGCTTGGCGTACGAAAATCTATACATATTTTCTTGGCGTAAAATATGTGGCGGACGTGCTGCGTCGATTCCAACCTGGCTCCAGGCAAGGTATGCATCTTTTATCTTTATACAGTAGATCGAATTTCTCTCTTGTTTATAAATCCTACTGTAAACTGTATATATAAATGAAAATGTTATGCTAATTCAATGCCAGTATTAGCAATATAATGGTGCTAAGGTTACATTCATATATGAAAAAATGAGCACAAGAAAGGCAAACACTCACTGATTTATATTTAACCAAATTATCTGCCAATGGCAATGTTGGCCAAATTTTCAACCATTACTGGGCTAGCCTGGTATCTCACTTGACTCAAACAAGGTGCCCGATCAGCCAGGCTGAAAATATTTGCCCATGATGTGAAGTCCCCAGCCTTCATTGAGTTTACATCAGACATTTGCAAATACTTTCTCAACCCGTTGCCAATGTCTTAATTGAAGAGGAAAATAAACTAAATATAGCCTCTATCTCTACATACAAGTATGATCTAAATCATATACAGTACAGTAATTATTTATCATTGCCACTAGTTACTATTATGCTGTTCCATGCCGCCCCAATATTATTGACCGTAGACCATTGACCGTAGACCTTGTATGTAGATTCAAGTATGATCTAAATCATCTACAGTACAGTAATTATTTATCATTGCCACTACTATTATGCTATATTCCATGCCAGTGTCGCAGTTGATTTGGACCTCTCGGTCCAAATCTACTAGTGGATATGGACCCCGGGGGTTCAAATCTACTAGTATATATGGACCCCCGCTGGTGGATTTGGACCTTCAAAAGTTAAATATATGTACTGTAATGTGAGCACAATAATATAAACCAAATTCATAATAGCGATCAATCTGAAGTATTTTATCACTTTTACCACCAAGTAATGATAAGTTATTGTTTACTTAATAATTTTTTATTTTTTGGATGCTCAGAATGCAGGAAATTGCATTTCCGGGTTTCAAATTACAAAAATTTTCTGGGAATTATCCCTCTAATCAGTAATGATAAATTACGGTTAATATCCTTTTTTACTTTTTGTGCATTTTCCCTTCTTTTATTTCAAATACAAGTATAGTTAGCATAAATTTTAGAGCAAATTTGGATGCTCAGAATGGAGGAAATGGCATTTCCGTGCTTCAAATTTCAAAAATTTTCTTGGGGAGTACACTCCCACACACATGACCATTGCTATCCTCCTCTAATAAGTAATGATAAACGATGGTTAATTATTTTCACTTTTTGTGTGTGTTTTTCCTTTATTTCTTTCAAATACAAGTATAGTTAGCATTAATTTTGGAGCAACTTTGGATGCCCAGAATGCAGAAAATGACATTTCCGAGATTCAAATTTCAGAAATTGTCTGGGGGAGTACACCCCCACCCCCTCCCCCCCCCCGATTCATGCTTGGTATATTGGCCACACATGTGGCCTTCAGCCATTGCTATCCCCCTCTAATATATTACCTCACTTGCTCGTGACCTGGGATAGTTAATACTTAAACATTAATTGGTTAAAATGCAAAATTGAAAAGCACAGCTTAAATAATAATAAAAACATTCATATATATGCTCGTTGATATTTCACAATATCATCGAGTAGCCTGAAATGTCAGGCGTTCTAAGGTTTCAATATATAAACATTCAAGATTTACTTGGCAACTGGCTACAGTGTTACACCAAATTTTGAAGTCAAATCTCATTTATTACCGTCTAACATAAATGTTGCCATTTGACGTTGCCTGGCCACGGTGGGAATCGAACCTACAGCCTTTGGAACACTAGCCCAATGCTTTGCCAACTGAGCTGGCGGTCAGGTCAGTTTGCATATGTGATATTTCGGAACTGAGTCTAGTTTCTTTGATATCAATGTAATCATGACTCATGGTGAATATCAGAATATGATGTTTGTGATGTTACCCTGAGTGTATATCCACACCGGGCAAGCTTGAGAAATGTGCCTGGCCAAACCCCAACCTGCCTGCGTAGCTCAGTTGGCAAAGCATCGGGCTGGTATTCCAAAGGTTGTAGATTCGATTCTCACTGTGGCCAGGCATATTTGTCAAGCTTGCCTAGTGTGGATATACACTCATGGGGTAACATCACAAACATATTCACATGAGTACATATAACACCAACACAGCAAATATATTTGTTATTGTAGAATTTGTAAACATTGCTGTTCAGCCGTTGCAGTTTTGAAACATACTGTATATTTGCTCATAGCTGGTCATATTTTGTTTGCTTTTGAATATTACTGTAATGTTTAGACCTATAAACTTAAGATGGTATTGTCTTCCTTTTGATATAGTTGCCGTTCAGTAATATGTAAATTATTGCTCGAATGATTGTATTTTTGAGTCTACTAGTTAGACCATTCTGACATATAAATAGACAGTGCATGTCAGTGACTCAGTGTTGGGAGTATGTTATGACATAGTTACTGTATGTTCTAGTGAATTGTATCATACTAATGTACCAAAGTAACCAAACTGACGTTGCCAGTGTAAATTCTGTTTTATTTACTCCAAAAGTTATTTAAACTGGCAATTCAACCGCGATTCAATTCTCGTTTTTGGTGTCCAGACGCCGAGGCGGTTGATTGTTTCACTCAAAATTGGTCCAACGACACAAATTGGTTGTGTCCGCCAGTATCTTTAGTTATACCTACGATTCGGCATATGTGCAGCTACAAGGCTAAAGGAACGCTTATTGTTCCACATTGGCCTTCGGCCATTTTTTGGCCTATGATTATGCCCCGGCCAGGGCGGTATGCTTCATTTATTAAAGAAGCCTTAGTTTTACCTAAGTGTCCACAGATGTGTATTCCTGGTAAAGGGCAGTTAATTGCATATCAGAGCAAGCAATCGGTTTTCATGGGTACACCAAGCTTTGACTTGTTAGCTTTGCGAATTGCATGTCAGCAGTTCGTGGCCATTAGCGGCGATGCCAATTTTTGGCCTATTCCACTATTTTGTGCTCTTTCGAGCTAAGAATCACGTGTGTGTAATTGACATTGCGGTTTTGTTTCCTCATCTTATGTCTTTTGCGCCGCACGCGTTTTACAGTTTGCTATTTATATACTATTTATCGATGTTGATTTAGATGAATTTCAAGTTGGTGTATGAAAGGATTGTCTTCAGATTCAAGATCCTTCGTTGTTGCGTTTGGCGTCGTTACTTCCCAAAGTTGTGTTGAGCGCTAAAGCTCAAACTACTACGTTACATTATGCTTATGCTTGGAATCGCTGGAAGACGTGGTCTAAGTCCAAGATTGGTGTCGCTTATCTTCCAGCTCAACCCTTGTGTGTTGAGTTGTATCTACGTGATCTGTTAGAATCTGCTCAGACTTCTTCTCCAGTCGATACTGCTATTTATAGTATTCGATGGGGACATTCCATGGCTGGTTTACCATCTCCGACCGATCACCCAATCGTCAAATCAACTTATGAAGGTTGTAAAAGAATTCTTGCAAAACCGAAACAACCGAAAGAGCCTATTCAACCCCACATGTTGCAACAGTTAGTCGACATGCATGGCCACAGTACCGCATCTCCAGCAGATCTTTGTCTACTCTTTATTGTTCTACTAGTTGGATACAGCAGATTCTTACGTATAAGTGAAATACTGGCCATCCAATTAAAGCATATAGAAATTGTCTCGCATGGTATGTCTATTTTTGTTCCACGACGTAAGAACGATCAGTTTAGATCGGGAAATACGATTCATATAACCAGATCCGGAAAGTCCACTTGTCCGGTGGCTATTACCATAGACAATCCAGAAGACAGGGACTGGAAACGCAGTGGCAAAAGCAATGATGCTGACGCGACATCCGTGATGCGGCTAAATCACGTAGCAGTTATCCGTTGCCCCAGCAACCCGCCTTAATCTGAACAAAAAAACACATAAATGTTGTTTTATATTTTTGCATGTTTTTGCTTTTTTGTATTTTTCAAATTTTGATTTTTTTATATCACTGTAAAAAGAAAATATACGCCAAGGTATGTAGGATTTAATTTGTTATTTTGACGGTGAATAGTAATAAAATTTTAAGTTTTGCCAGAACCTTTACATCAAAATGGCGCACGAAAAATACGTGTACGATAATACATATCTTTCGAACCCTGGAACTTGAAGATAAAGCCATCACTTGTCTGCTATATCATACATTTATCATCTCAAATGCACTGTGAGTGCTTTTAACGGATCAAAAAATCTCTGCGATTCTCCAATTTGGTAAAAACAAGCCTTTTTCACGCTGCTACTTTTACGCCAACTAGAAGATGGCCATTTCTGTTGCCCCCAATTCGAGCCTTGTAACTATAGTTTAAATAAAGTTCCGGGTTTGTAATTTACATATTTTGAACAAAAATAGATCTGTGAATGCACTTATCTGGTTTTTAAACTTATATTGAGTCAAGCAAAGCCAAAAACCTCCTTTGAATGCTTGCGTAATGTTTTTGACTGTAAAAAACTCGCCATTGTTGTTGTCAGAGTTCGTACTCGCTTCGAACCCTGGAACTTGAAGATAAAGCTATCACTTGTCTGCATACATCATCATTTATAATCTTAAATGCAATGTGAGTGCTTTTAGCGGATCAAAAAATCTTTGCGATTCGCCAATTTGGCAAAAACAAGCCTTTTTCACGATGCTACTTTTACGCCAACTACAAGAAGGCCATTTTTGTTGCCCCCAATTCGAACCCTGTAACTATAGTTTAAACTAGAAATACATGCATGCAGAAACCCTCGCCTTGCAGACAAAACCATTTTATTTTCCGGACGGGAAGTATTTTAAGTAGTTGTCATGGTAACACGATAATTTTTTAAGAATATTTTTACAAATGAAAAATCCCCTATAAATATCACTTTTAATTACAAAATTATCAATTTCCTAAACATATATATGTTAGGTATGTTATTATACGTAATATAAGCTTGAATTCAAGGTAAAATTCAACCACAAACGCTTCGCAAAACGTCTTAAAATGTTCTTTTACTGTAGAACAAAACTGCCTTTATCGATAAACTTTGAGTTCGAAATAAAATGATTCCAAATTCTCCCATGCAAATAACTTTGCTTAGTATAATAAAAAGTGTAATCAATAAAGAAACACTGAATTAATACGCTGTCTTGTTTCATATTTATACACAACGATCGGCTTTTAAAGTAATTACAGTAGGTATATGTTATTAATTTATACGTAATATTATAAGCTTCAATTTAAGGTAAAATTCAACCACAAACGCTTCGCAAAACGTTTGAAAGTGTTCTTTTAATATAGAACTAAACTGCCTTTATCAATAAACTTTGAGTTCGAAATAAAATGATTCCAAATTCTCCCATGTAAATAACTTTGCTTAGAATAATAAAACGTATAATCAATAAAGAAATACTGAATTATTATATAAACATAAGTGTTATA